GAGGCCACTACCTCCTTCCTTCCTAGGCATTGAATCCATTTGGGAGTACAGGCACTGAAGAGCTGGCCATCCATTTCATCCTATTTCCTAAATTAAATGGGCTGGTCAGTTTCAATATTCCTTTCAAGTCCAGATTTCTTAAAAATAAAGCCACCATTGCCAGACTTGCTTAGGAGAGTGTGTATGGATCCTGAAGTCTGGGACTGCCAGTTGCCACCCGGGCCAGGCTGCTGTTCCTAAGCCCTCACCTGAGGAGTAATTGAAAGAATCTACTCCCTCGCCCTGGAAGTCACCTCATGCCTAGAGTTCCACCAGTTACCAAGTCTTCCCATTGACCTAGCCAAGGTCTGCCCACCCCTGGAGGCATTTTCTTTTTCTTGTAGTCAGTTAACAATTGGGCAGCCATTTTTGTACCCAGAGGCATCATCCACCTTATTTATTCATTTGCCAGGCCAAATAAACCCTGAATTTTCTATCTCTTTCTTTCCTCACTTCACTCTAACATCAATGCAACCTAAACCTCTAAACCTGTGTGTGTTGACGGGGGAGTCCGAGTCATGGAGCTGGTGTAGAGAGGATGTTACCTGATGAAGGGGTGAGTTCCTTTACCTAATTCCTTAGTCCTGGAGCTCAAAGAATGAAGCTATGCAAGAGGAAAGACAAGGGAATTTTCCAGGGCACAAACCTCCCTACAAAGTTCACTTTAACAATGAGCACTGAATGAAATATTGAACACCTGGGAAATTATTTTAAAAAGGGATATTAAACAACAGTGCAGGACTGTCTGCTTATATTACAATGTCTATCTTCTCATGTGTCAGCAACAAGTAACGCTGAAGGAGGCCTAATTAACATATTCACAGTGGTACAGGTAGTAAAACAGTTATGCTTTGCATTGCTCAGGATGTTCAGAGCTGAAATAGATAAACTATGTGGGAGACTAGTAATAGGTAATTATTCTCTACTTACATATTCAGCCTCATAATTCTAAATTAAGGTAAGTGGAAAAAGCTTATAAAATATTCAAAGCTCCTTTATCTTTCCTCCTCCCTCTTATTAGAAACTGTGCATGAATTTGCATAGAATAAACTGAGCTCATAAATCAAAGAAGAAACTGCAAGAATGCTCTTTGTAAGTTATAATTTAAGGTTAACTGTAGCACATTTTGCTTACTGTATTATTAATGACTTTCGTTCACTCATGACAAGATTACATATTAAAAATTGTTGGTAGACAAAACTCAGTTCATAATCAATTTGCTTCTTAATGTGAGCAATCTGCGTGCATCCCTACGGCGGAGGCAGGTTTAGCGGGGATAATGGAAGGAGCGCCTTGGGAAGGACCGTTCTCCCACAGCGGGGCTTCCGCAGGGAAGTGATTGACAGGCAGCTCCAAAGGGGGATTTAGTGACTGGTGAAGGGCAAACCTGGAAGGGGCACAGTCAGTGCCTCTGTGGCTCCCAGAGGCCGCGGTTGGGCTCCACGTTGAACCAGACGCCTCTCCCCTTCTTCCTCCAATAGTGCCGGGGACTTTCCAACCCTGACCAGTATTTGAGGTCTTTCCACCTCCCATTCTCATTTACGAAACTTCGTCACATCTCTTTATTAAAGAATGTATTTCTTTTCCAGTATTAAGCAAACTAAATTTCCATTTGCTTTCTCAAACAGTTGCCCTTCTCATTTTCCCCTGCTGTCCTTCCTCCGTTTCACTGTGTGTTTATATTTTCAGCCAGGTCCTCTCCTTGCTCTTCACTTCTGGGGCTCAGCATTTCCACTCTTCTTTAGAATCGCTCCTTCTCCTTCACCTGAACAAAGAACCACAGACCCTGTCCCTGCAGTTAAGGCTTCCCACCTCCTGGGTCCACCTGAAGGTAAAGTCTTTCTTGCCTGTAGGTTGAGATACCTGCTGCCTTCTGATGCACTTGTAACGCACTTACCCTCACTCCCAGCTGGAGAAGCAGAGAGATGCACAGGCTGTTTATGGGTTATTTTGCTGGAAGACGGCATGAGCCGGTTGGATCTTTGATACTTAGATCTTGTGTTTTTGCCCTGGCTCTGTCTCAGGTAGAATTTTGGAGGAAGAATGATCTCTGAGATATGTACATGCCTGGATGCCTTCTGAATGTGTGGGAAAACATCTGGAAATCTTATATTGAAATGTTATATTACTCCATTTCATTAGTGTTTTTAATCTTAGTATTATAGATTCTGATGAATTGGCACCATTTACCTGCAGAATGTGTTCAAATTATGTCAGAAGTCGTAATCACACTGGAAACACTGGAGGCTGTGGCTCCTTGGGATGAGGACCTTGTGATGTAGGCATTCTACAATCCAGAAAGCATTGTCTATAGATTCCAAAATATCACTAGGGGGGATCCAAGGGGAGAATCATTTCTTATTTGATACCAATTTCTAAGCAATGGGACTGACTTCTTGTCTTGTCCTCTCCAGACTCACAGGCCCTCATCCCCCTGCCCTTAACATGAAAATACTCCAAGAGGCACAGGAAATATTCACAAGGGCTTCATGCAAAGCCAGAGGAGGCACAAAGAAAAAGAATGTGTGGTATTGGTGGAAATGAAAAGAATTAAGAGTGGGAAACACACTTAGGCATGAGGTCGGGGTGGGGTGGGGTGGGGCACTTGAAAGGGGAGGTGACTCGTCTTAGATATAAAGAAATCCAGGACATTAATTAAATTAAATAAGGGAGATGGAATGAAAAGTCAAAAGGGGTTACTTTTTTTCTGCTTGATTTTTAAAGTCGAGTGGTCTTAGGCATTATATAGTCAATCTTCTCTTACTCTTACTTGACTCACTTGTTAGATGACTTCATTACTGTTTGGGATTCAGCTCTAACTCTTAATCCATGACCTCACATCCCTAAGGGTCAGCACAGCCTACTCAACACAGCTCCAGGCTTATGCTTCCAATGTCTGGCTTTATGTCTCCTTATAGTTTCCACATAGCACCTCAAAATTACCATGTCTAAAACAGAATCCCCTTTTGTCCACATTCAGACAACTCCTTGGACATTTTGTCCCTGTGCATGACTATCATCCATCCAGTCCCCAAGCAGCCATCTTATGAGTCTTTCTACCTCCCCTTTAACCTCCAGGCTCCGACCCTCGTAAGTCTAGCCAACATCTATCTTCTGAATCGCCCCTCACATATAACCCCTAGGCCTTACCTTAGCATGGACTCTCATCTGGGGGGGAGGGGGGCACTGTAATTGTCTATTGGCTGGTTCTTTTGTTGACGTTATTAACCCCTCATCTAGCATCCACCTTGCTATAGAGTGGTTTTCTAAAAGAAATCTTTGATCATGTCATTTCCTTATTTTAAATCCTTCACTGGCTCTTTGAATGATAAATTCAGATAGCTCCGTGTGGATACATAACACCTTAGGATTTTCTTCAAGCCCACCTTTCTATTACTTCTACTTTTCTACTACAGACTTCTCCAATTCAAATCAAACACTTCTCTCTTCTCCTGTCTCTGTCTCTGTCTGTCTCCTCTCTCTCCTATAACACCTAAATTTTAGACATTAACTCTTTTTGTTTCACATTTAGCCAGAGGCAGAGCTTTTATTTCTGTAATGTTGCCAAAATGTTAATTCAACTCATTAAAAATGTATTGTGCATCTATTATGAAATTCTAGGAATTGGGGGAGGTTGGGAATGAAGAAAGTTAAGTAAAAGCAGAGAGAACAGGAAAACAGAGAAGACCCAGTGGACTTGGGAAATCTTTATCAGCCTCTCTTCCTTCCCAAGAGCATAACAATCAGAAGCCCCAGGGAACCATCCTGCTGACCAGGGGCCACTCTGCCCTGGGACCAGCTACAATTCTAAATGGTCTAACATTCCCCTAGGTGGAGACTGAGTAGTGGATTCAAAGTGATTGGCACACAGAAACTATTTTCCCTTTTTTTTTTTTTTTTTTTTAAACTCAGAGGCACAATACCCAAAGTTAACACTTGGAATGGGACTCTTGTTATTACAGCTTTTCTTTATCACATGGTTCCCTAACTTCCGGCTGAGCTGCTAGGCTAATTTGCTGAGTTCAGTTTGTCACAGTCCGGTATTTAGTTCCTCTTCTTTTGCAATGAGATCCATCAGAGAAGAAGGCTTTCATGTTAATTAAAGTGCTGCATTGCCTTGTGCCTTGGGGGGAAATGTGCCCCACAAGCCTGGAGAGAGGAAGATCCATGCTTCCCACCTAAATGAGTACTTTGCATTCTTATTTTGAGCAAAGCATTTCCAGAATATGGGGGAAAGGGAATTCAGAAAAAAGGGAACAAAGGTGGTGGTGGAGGAAATAGAATGAATGTCTGTATTTACACTACTTGCTACTGCTACGGACTCAGACAAAGAAACTGTAAACATTACAATAAGGAATGGCTTAGTAGCTCATTTGAAAGTTACTCCTCCAAAGTCACAAAATCATTCATAATTAATTGTCAATTGATTGATGCTGAAGTATGCCTAAGACGTTATGAGGAGGTGAGATCAGTATGGACTTCGGCTACAGTGTGAAGGACCCTGAAAGAATAAGATTGAAGTATGGAGCTGGAGGAACACTGTCTTAAGGGAGGGAATAGTGTCCCCTGGATGGTGTGAACTCACACTTCCCTGACGTGGCTTCAGCAGAAGACAAACCACATTTAGGCAAGCTGTCCTTGACATAGTGCATGTGGAGGGTTGTGCTGAAGTCCTCTGGGTTTAGTCCTCTATTTTGTATTCAACTCTTTGTTTTGTATGGAAGCGTATAGAGAACTTCTTCATTTCCCTTCTATCTAATTCCATTCCTTTGGGGAGTGCTCACTGCTATCAACACATTGTCATGTATTTTTCCAGCTCTCTTTTAATGCATGTACATATGTAGATACAGATACATATTCATGTATATACACACATCCATAGTAATTCCCAACATAAATGGGATCAGCTATATATATATACACTTCTAATGAGTTGTTTAACTTATTACTTACACACGTACCTTGATGATCCTTCCTTGTCAGTTGCCTTCATTCCTTTCAGGTGCATATGGACAACTCAGGGTTTATTTAAGCAATATGTTACTGATAGACCATTAGGGCATTTTCAATTTTTCCTTGTGGCTAAAAGCTTGTTGATACCTACAATTTTGGACTATGTATGTGTTTCTCTGTAGGGTGGATACATAAAAGTAGGATTGTCAATTTTGATAAAAAGCCATTGGATTGAGTTTCAAAAAGGTTCTGTTTACATTCCCACCAAAGTGTATAATATGTGTTAATGCCCATTTCTCTCACATTAGTGTTATTTTTTTCTGCTTATAAAATTGATGCATGAAAATGGTATTTCCTTATTGTTTCAAAATACATTTTCCTGGTAACTAGTGAGGTTTAATATCTTTTTTATGTGATTGGTCTTTCTACTTTCTCAGGTCTATTTTTATTGCTCTAAAGAAGCCATTTGTCTCATTTCTATTCCTCATTAATTAAAGTTAAATTGGTTTGACTTCCACCGAATTTTTCCTAACCATCAAATGCCTAAGCCAAGTAATGTGAAAGTGTTAAGTGAGTTAAATAATCAATTGATCAATATGTATTCACTAGGCAATTAATGCCTCTAGTCTGTGCTGGATATTCTTGGGGATATGGCTTTGGCTTTTAAGAAGCTTATATGATCTTTTAGGGTGATAAGACTCAAACTGTAATCAATGACAGTGCTGCTGTTTACTAGACCCCAAGGACTGTAGACAACCAGGGAAGAGAGGGATTCTGTAGTTTGGAGTGGCTGGGAGAGGCCTACTGAAGGAGAGGTAGTTGCACTTAACCTTGGAAGCAAGATGTTGGAGGAAGATAGTGCATTTTAGACTAGGGAGAATAGTGTGAGCCAGGCTTCTAAGTAGGTAAGTTGTGGCTTTCAGAGGATAGTAAGGAGTGCAGCCATCATAGAGCAGAGATTATGGTTATGCATAGGATTCCAGGAGTTCTTGAGCTCCTGTGAATAATCCCCCAGCCCCGTCATACACACAGACAGACTGTTTCAATCAGTCCCACTAGGGGGATTTGCCTCAGCTCATACTTGTGGCAGTTTGCCTTTGTGAGGCTATGTGTCAGGGAGTTCAGCTTTCAGCCTCCTGGTTCAGGGGGACAGATAAGGACAGGGAGAGGCTCCACCCTTTAAACTCCACTGAGTCCCCCAGGAAGCTGCTGGATCCGGGACCTGCCTGATTGCAGCCCCTAAAGCCTCATCATTTTGTCCAGAGGTGCCATTGCTGCAATTACAATCCAAACCCAGAGTCAATTACTCACTGTGTGAATCACCCCCAAAAGATTGCTTTTTCCTTTTCCATTAGTATCACACATAATTGCACTCTGTATGGTTCCTAAACTCTTATTCCTGACTTCAATGTCCATGAGGATCTAGGGTGATTATAAAGTCCCTTCATCTCCTATCACTGACCTCACTGACACTTTCCATAAAGTTCTTTTACTATTTTCTTCATTAACAATACACCCACCTCCTACCATTAATTTTTCAGCTCCTTGTGAGGAAAGAATCACTGTGTTTTCCCTGCTGTTTTTTCCATATGTTCATCTTTACTTCTTTTTCTTTGTCTCCTTATTAACAGGGAATGTTAACACTCACGTACCCTAGAGTTGTGGGGATGGTTTATTTTAATGATTCCGGCTTTCTCTTTTATAGCCAGTATCAGCTGCAGACCCCATGCTTCTCTTCCTCTTGGCCTTCAAGATCACCACAAGCTCCCCCAGCATCTGACCTGTCTCAGGCTTTCTCTCTGACTCATTCTCAAGCTGCAGCTAACCCCTGCTTTCAGTCCACTCTTACATTCAGTGTGGCTGTCCAGTGTATTACCTGTCCATAGGGTTTATGAAATGGGATCAACCAATTCATCATAAATAATTTAACAGCTGCTAACCACCACTACACAGGTTAACAAAGGCAAGTCATGCCGAGTCCTCCACAGCAAGAGAGATGGGGAATGAGAAGAAGCAAGGGAGATGGTAGGGTAGGGTGTCAAACTAGCTAGATGATGGAAGGAGATGGGCAGTCCTCCACTAACTATCCAAAGGGCTGTAGTGACTCCATTCCATATTTGGGCCAGAACTCACATACAAAAGGCCCAGTCTGGAAAAATATCACTCAGTGGTGATATTTTAAGACAATCATAATAGTAGTGGCTCTTAGAGACATTTCACATGGAACCCATCTACCAGCAGAGGAGTAGATAGTGGGATGAGGTAGTCAAAGGTCAGTCAGAGCAGGAGTATGACACAATACAGTGTGTGAATATTCCAGACAATTAGGCTAGCTTTCAGGTCAGGACCCAGGACAATGAAGTACTGGAAACCTAAGCCCAGGTACAGTCATTAAGACTGAGCAAGCAGAGCAGGGCCTATGGGGAGGCATGCAGGGAGTGTAAGGTATTCAGAGAGCACAACCAAGTCTACAGTACTGAGGAGTTTCATTATTTCCACCCTCCCCCCCCAACTGAAATCTTAGTCTAATTCAACAGGGTTTGTTCCATTTTTTTTCTTACAAATTGCCTTTGTTAAATCTTTTTACTTTCGTTTCCATGCAAGAAAGAAAGAATTATATTTCTTTTGCATTCATATTTTATCTATTTACATATTATTGCATTAAAATGTGACATTATGATAAAAAGCCTACAATGCCAAAGATATGTTGGTTATAAACACAACTTGACTCTTGAGAAGTATGGAATTCACAGGTGGGAAGAGAAGTATGCAGGCAAACCTGAGACCTCCTCCCTCTCACATGCTGTTAGTATGCTCTGGGTGGAAGAGTGAACACCAATTAATCCTAAGTGTGAGGTAAATGTCACCTACTATCTATCCCTCCCTCTGCTGATTCTCAGCCAAAATAAGGAGTTTGAAGTATGAGGGTGAGGGATTGAGAGCTCAAAGAGGGAAAGTGGATGAAAGATGGTAAGAATTGCTTATAAACTTATATATACCTACAGGTGTGTGTGTATGTGTGTGTGTGTGTGTGTGTGTGTGTTGCTAAGAAAATAACTTCTGGGGGCCCCTGGGTGGCTCAATAGGTTGAGCATCAGGCTTTGGCTCAGGTCATAATCTCTCAGTTCATGAGTGGAAGCCCTGCATGACATTGGGCTCTCTGCTATCAGTGCGGAGCTCCCTTTGGATCCCCTGTTTCACTCTCTGCCCCTCTCCCACTCGTGCACTCTCTCTTTCAAAAATAAATAAAATATTAAAAGAAAAGAAAGAAAATAAATTCTGATCTTTGTTAAATTCAATTGCAAGCAAAGTAGTGAAGTTAGAGGCCAGATTATAAAAAATAAAGGAGTATCTAAATGACATGGCAGTAGAGTTAGCAAGTGCAAATCATGCTTCTAAGGAATTAGACACCCAGGGAAAGAATGATTGGGAGTTCGGTGGAGGAGCAAGTGGAGATCAAGACAGATTTTTTTGACATAAAGAAGTCAAGATCATGTTTACAGCTGAAAGTAGCATGGTGATGGAGAGGGATATTGTAAGATGAAGAAGAAATATAATAGAGTGGAATAGTTAGAGAAAATGTGCTACAAAAACAAAGGCAGATAATTCAGATATCAGCATGCTAGAAAAGCAGGAGAAGCCCTAAGACAAAAGCAGGGATGTATAAAAACACCAAGACAAGATTCTGCAACCTTTCTAAGAAGAGAATGTAGGCAGACAGATGGTGGATGGATAGATGGGTAGATGGGTAGGTAGACGGGTAGAAACATTTCTAATACAGTAACATTAGTGGTTGTGATTGTGATATACATATGGTGATGATAAAAAGGAAGGAATAACAACTATTTCGGTGGATCAAGAAAGGTTTACTAGTTAGGGAAAATATTGGAATGTGGACTAAAATATGAAAAGGGATTTTCCAGGCAAACTAATGGGAAGGAAATTCTGGGCAGAGAAATAACAGGTTCAACTTCATGGAGGTGGGAAAATGCAGAGTTTTGACGAGGAGTTTGGTGTGGCTTCTGAGTAGAGTATGTGGGGAGGGGGATGAGGCTGAGGCTGGACAGGCTGCAGCTGGACAAGTTGGCAGCAATAGTATCTTAATTTATAATTTTTATCCTTATGATAAGGAGATTGTATTTTACCTTATAGTTTGGGGACCTCTGTCTGGCATTGATTTTGGAAACTCTGATTCATGTCTATCATGGAGTTACAGACATGATGCAATGAAGTGACACTTGGTAACCATAACATTCTTCTCATGGCATTAATTTCTGTCCCCTGTTTTGAGGAGGTCTTTCTGCAGCATCTTAAAGAGACATGCAATATTTGAAGCATAAAATGGAAAGTCCTTGTTCCATAATTCAGGCCTAATGGGAATTCTCAAAAGATGTATTTTTTTTCTTATCTAAGAAATAAGGTCAAAGTGACATACAGGGTTAAAATGTACATGCTATCTTTATGTTCAATAAAGCATTTTTAATTTTCAGAAAGAAGAAAGGGGAAAATAACAAGGAGGCTTGTGTCTGAGATCCCAAGGCAGAAGTAAAAGCTGGGAGAGAAGATAAATATGAGCTATCGGCAGAGAAGGAGAATTGCTCTCCTTAACCCAAGCGGGGGAGAATGCGTCCTAAGGAAAGAAGGGTTTAGTAAGACTTTCTGAGGCTTCTGAGGCTTCTATGAGTTTTCTTTCCTTTTTTTTTTAAACATCGACCAGAAAGCTTTGTTGTCTAGGAAAGGGTAAAAGGATGTCTGGCTGAATTGGAATTGACAAAACTAGGCAACTCAGAGAGGGCAGTCTCGGGAGCAGCCTTTAACCACAAAAGAGTTATTGAAGGCGATGCAATCGATGCAGCCGGAGTGGGCACAGGAGGAAGATGATGAAACCCATCAAATTCGATCACTGGGCAGGAGCGGTCAGCATCAGCTTCCTTGGCAAGGGTCACTCGATGTCAGCCTCCATTCAGGGGCTTTCGCCTCCCCTGCTGATTACTTTCTTAGGATCATAAAGTTTGAGTGTCGGGAGGGAATAGTGCATGATGCCTGCTCCAAACTTTTTTCTGGGACTGGAGCATCTTTCATTCACTATGGCCTATACAAGTAGGTTTGCTGGACTCGTGGGTTAGAGAGCTGCTGACTCAGCTGCCTTGAGTACTTGACTGGTATGACCTCTCTC